AAGTAATAATTTCTAATTTGTACTACAGACTATTAAATTGATCTACTGTAATACTATAATGATAAAATATATAATAAATAATACAGATATGAATAAATAAGATAATAAAATATATAAACATATAAATAAATAATTAATAAATTTAAAAATAAAATAGAGACAACAACATATAAGCTAATTTAGTTTCAATTATATAGTAAATTTATATAATAAAATCAGATATAACATGATCAGATTATAATAAAAATAAGTGATAATATTTAAAAAGTCAATTCAATCTTCTGAAAATTATCGAAATCATAAAATATAAATTAATTGCAAATTGGTTTTGAATTTTTTTTTGTAACATAGTAAGATGTCCAAGTAGTATTTTGATATAGAAGTTAATTGTAATTTAAATATAAAATATTTTTATACAAATTTTAAATAAATAATATTTATAGTATGTCGAGATTATACGAAAATTTTAGTTTAAGTCTAGAAAGTAAAAATAAAAGTATAAATAAAGAATGTGAGATTATAGATTTATATTAAAATAATGAAAGTAATTGTAGGTAAAAAAAGAGATTTTAATTTATGAAAATAGAAGAATAAATTTAAACAAAAAAAAATAAATATATTGATTTTATAAATGGTATTATAATTTATATTAATAATAATAAAATATTATCAATTTTTTTAATAAATATTTTTTTTTAGATAGTTACTTTACAAGAGATTTTCAATGTAATTATTTTACAAGTCTTTTTATAAAGTATAATAAGAAATAGAATTCTTTATTATTAGTATAAAGTAATATTTTCAGCCTTGTAAAAACTATGATATTTAAAATATATTTAAAATATATTTAAAATATATTCAAAATATATTTTATTAAATATTTTTTAAGTCAAGTTGTGGGGTTTGTGATACTTACAGAATTACTAGTAGAAACTTTGAGAACCAAACGAGAGTTGACCTTAATATAAAAAAAAAAAGTTATATTTTTTAAGTATATAAAAAATTATTTAAAATATTATTATTTTATAATTAAAATATATTTAAAATATACTTAAAAAATATTTAATTTAGTAATAAGTAAGTATATTTTAAGTATACTTAAAATATATTTAATTTTAAATATATTTTAATTATAAAATAATAATATTTTAAGTGAATTATCACAAATATAATTAAGTATATTTTAAATATATTTTAAATATATTTTAATAATATTTTAATAATATTTTAATTATATTTTAAGTATTTTTTAAATATACATATTTCTTATAAAGAATTATTTAATTTAATTTAAATATATATATTTTTTGGAGATACAACAATGGATGATAGTACAGATGAATAATCTATTGTATATAAAATAATGTTATTTGAAAATTGTCAATTATTTTATTTATTCAATAAAATATCTAAAAAAATTAAATCAAGAAACATAAATGAAAAAAAAATTAAATTGTAAAAAAAAAAATATAATTATAATAAAAACAAAAAATTTTTTAATAAAATTTATATATTTGTTTAAATTTAATTTTATTTACATATAATTTTTTAATAATAAAAATTCTATATTTTAAAAATTTATTATATTTATCTGATAATTAAATATTTATTACAATTATAAATTATTGTTATTTTTTTGTTGATTTAAAATTAATTGTTAAAGAGAGAAGTGTGATAATATATGTTTATATTTTAATTAATTATTATTTTTATTATTTGTTATTTTGAATATTATAGTATGATTTTTAAATAATTTTTTAACTTTATTATTTTTTCTAATAAAAAAATTAATTAATTCTTGTAAAATTATAAAAATTATAAAAATTATATAAATTATATTTAAAACTTAAAACTATAATCTTACTTTTTAATAAATTCTTTCAAATTTGTTGTAAATATATAAGTAACTATATTACATTGTTAACCCTAGTTATTAAATTTTATTATTATTATATTATTATTTTATTATCATGTATTAACTTATTTATAATTATATTTTATTAGTTTAATTTCATATTTTTATTAGTATATATTATATAGGAAACTATTAGTATAAATCATTTAGAAATTGGTACAACTATTAGGTATTACAACTGTAGATCTGAATGTAATTAACAATGTAATGTACAGCATAATTAATAGTATATTCAATAGTATATATATTAGTGTAATCTACAGTATAATCTATTATAACTTCAATTATATATATAAAGGGCTGAAATTCTCTTTACTCAATTCTCAGTTAATTTTCAGTTCAATTTAGAATTAGTTTTATATCTAATTCTCAGTTCTTTTGTTAATAAAATACTTTGTGATTTACCTTACAATTTCCAAGTGAAATTTTGTATTATTCCTTGATAGAATATTAAAACCCTTGTTGAATTATATCTTGCTTTGTGATCTTAATATATAGTTTTTATATTATAATTCTCTATTTAGTGTTAGGAATTATCAGTTTAGTTAGTTTATATTTTGTTCTTTATGCATAGTTTAGTTAAACCCTTATAAAAATCTTATAGTTTTACTTCTTCCAAACAAATCCACAACATCTAAATCCTTCAACCATTATACTTTTTGTAATATAAATTAGTTAGTAGTAATATATTTTAGTTTAGCTACTATACCTTTAGTTAATAGTTAATTGTATCCCTTGAAAGTTGAATTATGATTAACATTAGTTTTTATATTTTACAAATAAAAAATATATTTATTTATTATTTTTTTCATAGTTTTAATACAAATAAGAGATAGCTCTGCATACTGATTTCATAGATGATTTCACTGAAAATGGATTCTCAACAAATCCAAGATACAATTTTAATGCAAAAACTTTTAATAATTGGTTTATATATTTTAATATCACAGTCTTGTCACGTTTTAATCATGTGTTAAAACCAAAATTCGGGATAATCACTAAAATTTAATTAGTGATATAAGACAAATCGGCCCATATGCATATGAAAGTGTCCATAGGTACATGTATGTATATAAATGTAATTATATGGTGACTCCCGTGATAATTAGTGAGTTCCATTGGTCAGAATGTATACAAATCAAATATACAAATTGGGGTCCAACTGTATACAAATTTGGCTAAGACTCACAACAATATTTTTGGTGAGCTAATGAACACAAAACGCAGTCATTTTGCACTTTTGAAAAAGATGATAGATCAAAAAGCCTGTAATTTTTCTTTATTTATTTCGTAACTTTTCATTACATAATATATTCTTTTAAAAATTTAAATTTATATCACAAATTATTATAAAAATTAAAATTATTATAATTTATTAAAGTATGTCATTTAAACAACATATTAAAGTTCATGAAAAAAATGCTTTGAACGGATTTCTTTTAGTTCGACCTGTATGGGTTGACGACGAAACTGTTAAAACTTGTAAAAATTGTAGAACTTCTTTTACACCCATCCGTCGAAAGGTGAATAAATCGATTTCTTTTATGAGGATCGTGTATATATGATAATCATTCTAAAATGTAGTCATTTATTATTATTATTATTATTATTATTATTATTATTAGCTAGGGTTTTTTTTTATTTTATTTTTAATAAAAATCTTATTTATTCAAAACCAATTTTTTTTATAAATAGCATCATTGTCGTCAATGGTAAGCAAGTCTATTGAATAATAATAATAATGATGATGAACAAAAGTTTTTCTTTTCTGATGGGTAAAGATGAAGATGAAGATGATCTACCATCTAATCTAATCTATTTTAATCTATTGAATTATTTATTATTATTATTTATTTTAATTTTTAGTGGAAACATTTTTTGTCAAGAATGCACTTCTCGAAGTATTGCGTTACCTCAGTTCGGTTATGTGAAACCGGAACGAGTTTGTAGTGGATGCATCGAAATTGCATATCTTGTTGGATACGTAGTTTCTGATGACAACTCGACTCAAGTAATAAAATCTATTTATTTTATTTGATTTAATAATTAGTTATCAACAAAGTTGATGTAAATGTTGTATTATTATTCATATTAGTTACATGGAGCTAGAGGATTACTGGACATTGTTGAACGAGGAAATGGTTATTATTTTCTTTACATTCTTATATTTCTTTACTTTCTTACACTTCTTTACACTTCTTTACTTGATGAGATGATTAAATTAAATAAATATTCTCTTTAAAATATTAGAACAAGAATTATTAAATTTCATTAATTATGGAGGATTGGATGCATTAGTGTATTTGTGTCGAACATCGCAAGAATCTGATCTCCGTGAGCTTCATTCATTGGGAACGATTGCTTTAGCTAATATTTCTGGATACGGTATAATAATTATATATAATATCTGTGTAATATCTATGTAATATCAGTGTAATATTTTTATAATATTTTATATAATATTTATATATATAATATTTTTATTAAAATATTTTTAGAATCTCTCAAACCGTATATTATTATGAAAGGAGGACTTCCGTATTTATACAATCTCGTTTTATTTTATTATGATAAAGTGGGACCGGAATCATCGGATATTTCAATTACAGAGAAATATTTAGATTCTGTTTCGTCTATCATTCTTAATATTGGGAATATATTATATTATCTATCTATCTCAGGTTTCTTTTTTTTTTTAAAAAATCTAATTTTAATTTCAATAATTATTTATCAAATTTATATTATTTATAGGTTCGTTATGTCAAAGGATGTTACCCGATAATGCATCTTTGGATGCAATTTTAAAATTAGCAAGTTTTCAATTCGGTAATTTCAGTAATTTCACTGATAATATAGAAAATAATAGTGAAGATATTATCATTAATAATAATGATGAATGTGATGATGATGATAATAATAATAATAATAAAGATAATGAAGAAGGTGAAGAAGAAAATTATGAAGAAGATGAGGAAGAAATAACATATGGAGAAGAAGGATTACAAGAAATGCGACTTCGAGTGGAATTAACACAAGGATTAGCATCTAAAACTCTTTCATGTTTAGCCATTAATCCATCTCATCAATTATTAATAATCGAATCATCTATAGAAGGATTGGATCGTTTAATTAATTTATTATTATCAAATATTTATGAAGTTAGGAAATATGCAGCAAAATCAATAGCATATTTATCATTAAGAAATGATAAATATAAATCTGCTTTAATTAAAGATGGAAGAGCGGAGACAATTGCATCTATAATCAATGTTGAAGATGAAGAATCAGCTAAAGCTGATCAAGTGACAATATCACATACATGTTGTGCGATGGCAAATTTAGCAACAAATGGTAATTTAAAATATATTTATATTATATATATATATATAAATATTTAATATGTTTATATAAAAATTAATTATTTATAAATATTTAAATATTTATATTTAATATATTTTTTATAGCCGAATCCCAACAAATTTTAATTCGTCAACCAAATTTATTATCAAATTTATGTCAAATGATTGAATATTTTATCACCGATAGAGAAATTCAAAGACATATAGCGAGGTTATTAGCAAATTTTGCATTATATGATGAAAATAAGATTCGAATGTTATCGTATCAAATAATTTCAATTGATGATGAAGTGAATAATCAAACTGAAGAATCTTGGGGAAGTGTAATTCCAACTTTAATAGCTATTGGTGATTCCCCAGTATCTAATGTGGAAATTCAACGTCATATTATTAGAGCTATTGATAATCTTTCAACTGAAGGTATATTATTATATTTTTATTATTAATATATTATTATTATTATATTTTTAACTGTATATATTCTTATATTATTTAGTTCCATCGGGATCACATTCTAAACTTACACCTTGTATACCTTTAATAAATCGAATATTGGATACAGTTAAAGATGAAGATATTCGTAAACGAGCTTCACATGTATTGAATAAACTTAATCCACCTTTATCTCCATTAATAAGCAATATCGATAAACATTTTTCTGGAAAAAAGAATGAAATTATTAATAATAATGATGATAATAATAATAATTTATTAATAGAATCAGATTTTCCCACTCAAAATTTAATAATTTTTGATGACACTGATCAAACTGAAACTGAGGAGGATAATAATAATAATAATGATAATAATAATGATAACAATAATCATAATAATGATAATAATGATAACAATAATCATAACAATAATAATAACAATAATCATAACAATAATTATAACAATGACAATAATAATAACTTGGTAACAGAAAGGGAGAAAGTAGAAAAAGGTTTATCTGTGCCACAATTACCACCAATTAAAAAACATAGCAATGGAAAAAATTTGTTGAAAGTTTTTCCAAATGATCATAATTTGGTAATAGAAAAGAAACATAACAATGAAACAAATTTATTGAAAGTTTTTCCATTTGATGATTAAGATTTATTTAAGATTTTATTTTTTAATATTTAAGAATTTTATTTTATTTTATTTTATTTTATTTTATTTTATTTTATTTTTTATTTATCATATTTTTTTATTTTTTATTTTTTTTTATTTTCTTTAATATACATATGTACGAAAAAGACATTTTTAATTCCTACAAATCATTATTTTTAATTCATTTATTTAATAATAATAATAATAATAACAATAATAATAAATTTAAATAATAAATAAATAATGAATGTTTATGAATTTTCGGTTTAATAATTTGGACCGTTTTTGTTTATAATTTTGGTCAATTGGCAACATCTGAGATGCCTGGCAAAACAAATATAATTATTCTAATCATTAGATTCATAAATTCACTATCTGTTATAAGTTTACGGTTTATTATTATTATTATTTATTACCATAAATTATTTTTTTTAAAATGAAAATGATATACTGTGTAACCAAATAATATAATGTCTCCTTCCTTTATTGGATGATGCACACGTGGTGATTTTTTGTTTATGCGTTATTTTTTTTTGATTATATAAATAATAGCGCACTTCTTTTTTTTTTTTCTTCTCTCTTTTCGGCTTCTATATTTCAACTTTGGCATTTCAACTTAATTATTCAGTTTACATTCACCTTTTATTTCACCTCTGTATTTTGGTATACTTCACCCTTCGATATTATTTATTATTCTCGTTTGTCATTCCTATTTAACTAAAAATTATATCTAAGAAAATATGGATATTTACAATAAAATGATAAATATCATTTCCTACTTTTCTTTCACGCGTTCTTCTCACGTTTCAGAAAGTAAATATTTATTTTATTCTCCGTTATTTTATTATTGCTAACAAAATAATCATTTTACAATTTTTTTTTAAAATTTAATAAATATGATAATAACAGATGGTCATATTTTTAGTCGGAACACTAAAGTAAACTTAATTTTCTTAACTGATCTCGGAAATCTTTTCGTGTTTTTAATCCCTTTTTTTTTATCATTTAATTTTAAAAAAGGTCTCAATTCCGGGATGGACCATTGTAGATGGAATGTTTGGTCTTAATAAACATGTTTCCTATCAAATCGTATATCGAGTAAGTAATTACATTTAACTATTAAAATTATCATTTTCTCCTTAAAAAAATAATATAATTGATATCTAATTTATCAAATTTTAATAGTATTGGGATAATGGAAATATTACTAAGATATTAATCAATAAACGATATAATGATTTCTATCAATTTCATCAAAGTTTAATTAGAAAATATGGAAAGGATATTATATTATATTTACCTCCAAAGCAGAGAGAAGGTTTATTAATTCTATCATATAAGAATAATGTAATATTAAGAATAACATATATTATAATATTAATTTATAATAATTTTTTTTATATCCATTAGGAAGATTTATACCTAGATTTATTGAATGCCGACGCGAGAGACTTCAACTCTACCTTTCTCGCATGGCAGTAACGAATCCTAACGAATTTATGGATTTCTTGGGACACAATGAAACGGTATTTTATATAATGAAATAATTATAATATTGCTAAATAAAAAAAATTTTCAATACAATATATAATAAAACATGTATTTTATATGTTTAAAAGAATCGAACAAGAATTGAATCTGACGGTGGTCCAAGAATAATGAATCAAAATATAATTAACAATGGATCAGCGGTGCCAACACGTAGTTGTTTGGCGATTAATACAACCTCCAGATGTCAAAAGAAACAAGTAAAATTTGAAAAAGAAGTTGTAAATAATGAAAAAGCGTCTAGAAATCCAAGGGTCAAAAAACACGTGTCGCAATACGAAAACATATTTTATTACATATAAAAATGACTTATCTGTTTATCAATAATCGATCAACACCTGTAATCTATCAATTCACTAGATAAAACTATTTTAGAATAATTTAGAATGACTTAAAACATGTATTTGTTCTTTTTTTATAACATTTTTTAGATAGAATATAATCTCATATGTAAAATCTTGTCGTTTAACTTCATAAATTTGTTTATTAAAATTTAAATATTATCATATATATAAAATAATTTTAAACTTTCGAATGAATTTTGATTTTTATAATAATAATAAAAAAATTATTAACATCACAAATGATAAGTATTATTATTTTTTATTGTAACGTTTATCATATTATTTTAATATGCATTCGTATTCTTTCTGTTCTGTCTTGTATTCTTAGCAATTCAGTAAACTTTTTTTTATTATTATTTCTCGAGCTCACATGATTCATAATTTCGAATTTTATTTTTAATAATTAATAAAAATAATAATAATATTTTTTGTTTTTCAGCTGATCGCTTACTGCATTTTACTGCATAGAGAAACTTGTTCAAGCTTGCTGACGTTTGCATATCCGTACCAATTAAATTTAATTTACTTTAATTTACTTATACTTTAATTTTACTTTTTAATTTACTTTAATTTACTTTAATTTACTTTAATTTACTTTATTCAATCACTTTTTACTCCCTAACATTATTTAAAAAATTAATAAATGATTAAGTAAAAATTCTATTTATAACTTAAACCTAACCAATTAAAGTAATTTTGAATAAAAATATTATTATTTATTCTAAAAAAAATATAGGCATAAATACATTATTAAAGATCACTAGCATAATTTATGTAAATGAGATTTCTTGTTATGTACCACGTTGTATCATTGTATTACACCACCTATAACAACTGTAAGTAACGTAACATCATTCTAAACTCAATTATGAATTATATTTTAAAAATCATATTCTATAAAGTATATGATTCTCATTCATTCAATAAATTCACTGTATTACGTAATATATAAATGTAGGAAAGAAAATAAATGAATATAGAATACATATAAAATATATATGAAATGTATATTGAAATGTAGGCGTTTGTTTTTTATATATTTTTTCAATGAACATAAAGACATCAATGAATTATACTTAAAGAAAAGGAGTGGGATGAAAAAGAGGAAGTGAGGAGGAAAGGACGGAGAAGAAGGATCTTCGTATGATCGATCATTAAAATGTAAATACATAAATATATTTGGATTCGGAACTATTATTTAATATATTTGGAAATTCACATTTATTTTTTTTTTACTAAATTAGCGAAAATAAAAAATAAAAATGAATGCTAAATAAATGTTAGTAAGGTCAGGAGAAATTTATTTAAGAATCATTCAAAAAGTTATTCAAAGTTATTCAAAAATCATTCAAAAATCATTCAAAAATCATTCAAAAATCATTCAATTGGATAAATAAATAAATTATAAAAACAAATGATAAAAACGATCAAAATATAAAAATTGCACTACATTTACAAACACCACCATTTTATAATAAAGTCAAAAAAAATTATTTATTACACAAAACCAACTTACAAAGTTGTCTTTCCTTCTCTTTCCACTCTTCGTTTCTCTTTTTATTTTTTCTCTTCCTTTTTTTATTTATAATTATTATTTATTTTTATTGAATACAAAAAAAAAAAAAAAAAAAAGGAGAAAAGAAATAATAAGGTAGCTTTATCTTAAATAATAATAATATATTATAATTGTTCCTCTTCTTGGGACTTGTCGTTAAAGAATTTATTACATTTATATTATACTTATTAAATTATATATTCTTTGATCTTTTTATAGAAAAAAGAAATAACTGACTCTAATTAATTAAGTACTTATTAATTTATACCTTATATTTTTTCTTTTTCTATATGCTCTGTGTTCCATATGCTATGCTCTACATGTTCCATATATTGCATGCTTAACCCAGTTCTTTCTTAGTTCTTTCTTAATTCTTTTTTTTTTTTTTTTAATTCTTTCTTGATAATAAATAATTTCATTTTAATTTCTTTAGGAAGATAACAACCAACAACGATAATAATAATCTAAACTTACGCTATTGAAGGAATGATTATTCTTTAAACAATAATAATAATAATAATAATGAATATTAATTCTTGGATATATGATTTTTTATTTATTGAAATAATATATATATAATAATCAAAAACAATATAATTAATTAAATAATTAAATAATAATAATAATAATAATAATAAATTAAATAATATAATGAATCTTCCCTGTTTATTTCGTAAATATCGAAAAACGGAAGTTACTTCCGTTTTTACTTTACGAATAATATTCATGTTACTCATAATGATAATTATAACAATTTATATGGCGATATTAGTATTAAATTTTACTACGCAACCTCCAGGAATTTATGAAGAATATAAAGAGGTTGAATATGTTCCGATACCTGGTATGTGATAATTATTATAATTTCCATATTTCTATAATTTTTATATATGTATATACCTTACGTACTTTATATACTTTAAAAATTTTAGTCCTGGAATTTTCCGCTGAATTTAATTTTAATATAGCGTATTCGATACCACCTTCGATAACATCTTCAGGTTAGTTCTTAACTCTAATATTTTTGCGGGCACGTTATTTGCGTGTTTTCAAATTTTTATTAACTTTTGATAATTTTTATTATTTGTAAAAAAAAAAACATGACGCGATTATTTCAATAATTTCATGTAGCTAATGATACTAATAATAACGCAAGTTTAAATAACACCAAAAATGGATATGTGAATATAAATGATAATTATAAATTTTCGTCTTCAAATGAATCAATTACAATAACAATTTCTATCAACAACATAACTGGGATTTATAACGAGTTAACAACTAATGTTTATGATGCAGGTACGTTTCGTTTCGTTTCGTTTTACATTTTAATTAAATCTTAGATCTAAAATATAAATTCTTAATAATAATAATAATAATAATAATAATAATAATAATAATTAATAATAATAATAATAATCCTTTATTTAAAGAAACTCGACATAATTCAACATTTACAAATTTTAATGATGGTTTGAATAAATATTATCTGAGGAGAAATAATGTGAGAATATTTTTTATTTTATATTATAAATGTAATATATTACATAAATTTACATATTTCTTAAATTATATATCTCTCACGTACATATCTAGTTTTATACATTACGAATATCAAATAATCAAAGAAAAACTTTTACATCCAATGGTTTATCTGGTTTACAAATAATAAAACCTCATTATGATAAACAAAATTATCTTACTACTACCATCATGCGTAAGTCATCTTATTATATTAATAATATTGACATTATTATTATTTATTGACGAACGATTATTATTTATTGATTTATTGATTTATTGATGATTATTATTAATTATTGATTATTAGATGATGTATACACGAATATAGATAATTCAACATTTTGTATAATAAAAGTTGAACCCGCAAGTTTTATAATGAAGGTTGAAACTGAACTAAGGTGAAAATATAGATTTACATATTATATATATATTATTAATAAAATTTTTTTTCTAACCTGTTTTTTTTTTTTACCACTGATTTTCTTTTTTAGGAATCATTCGGTAAATATTAATGTTTTCTTTATTAATGAATTATTTGTTTATTTCGCAAATAAATAAAATAAATAAATCTGTATTTTTATTTTTAGGTTTTAGAATTAATTGGATTGCTTGGAGGGATATGGGTATTAGCTTCTGGGTTTTACGCGTTATTATTTGGTGAGAATTTATTATTATTATTATTCTTCTTTTCTTATATATCATATATCTTTTTATCTCTTTCCATATTAATTTGATATTATAAAATTTATAAAATGTATAGGGGTAGACATAATTCGTCCTTGGGGTCTAATCCAGACATACTTATGTGGTTCATCTTCTCGTAAAAAAATTATCTATACTTTTCCATTACTTCCATTACTTCCTTTAGAGATGGAAGGCAGCAATAATAGAGACAATAATAAAGACAATAATAATGATAATAATAAAAACAATTATAATAATAATAATAATAATTATAAAAATAATTATAATAATAATTATAATAATAATTATGATTTAGAAAACTTACAAAATCAAGTGACCTCTTTACAATTATTTTTAAGAGAGTACGTGATAGATACAAATTATTTGGAAAACATTCAAAAGAAAAAGTTATCATCTCTTAATAATGATAATAATAATGGCAACAACAACAACAACAACAACAACAACAACAACAACAATAACAAAAACAATAAGAAGAATAATGATAATGATGATATTGATGATATTGAGAATGATAATGATAATAATAATAATAATAAAAATATTAATTATTATTCAGAAAATTCAGAAGTTAAAAAGAATGATAATGTTGGTGGCGGTGGTGGAAGAATTTCATTTACTCATTATCATAATTCATCATCTTCATCAACATCTTCACCTTCACCACCATTACTTAAACATTCAGAATATAATAATAAACCTATAATGATTCAATCTCCCAACGCCAGTACAGATTCTACAACAATTGCCACCACATCATCAATACTAACAACTCCAACCAAGAATGTAGATGAATATTTAAGTCAAACAGGTTTAGGATATATATCAGGTAGATCAATTAGATCAGGTTGTTCTTCAGCTCCTATCAGTTTAGTAAATGCATTCGGTACTAATGATGATGATGATGATGATGATGATGATGACGACGATAACAATGATAATGAGGTTAATATTAGAATTAAGAATAATCTTAAGAATAGTATGAATAATAATAATAATAATAATAATAATAATAATAGAAATAGAAATAAAAAGAATCATAATAATAAAGATAAAGGTGATGATGATAATGATAATGATGGGGATAATAATAATAATGATGATGATGGTGATGATGATGATGATGATGGTAAAGAAGAATATGCTAGCATAAGGCAAAGTCAAGTATTAATTAGATATCCTACTATTGTGAAATCTTCAAGTATGAGTAATATTCAAGGACAGAATACTTTACCTTTATACATTCCAAAAGAAGCTGATGATAATTTATAATCATTATTTTATTTATTATTTTTATTATATAATAAATATTTTTATTCTTTATTAATTGCATCTATTTTATTAAATCTATATTAAATTTATTTATTTATTTATTAAGAGAGGATAGTTTGTATTTGTATTTAAAGAACCAAATTTAAAATTTAATTTAATTTAATTAAAAAAAAATGACTGTTGTTGTTGTTTTATATTATTTTTATTATTATTAAGATTTTATAATTGTTCTGAAGTTCATCTTGATTATTCAAATTTTCAATAATATTCGTGAATTATCTTTTATTATTTTGAGGAACATCAAATATAATCATAAGGAAATTAAGTTCAATATCAAGGAAATATAATAGAAGATTTAAATGCATTAATGATGGTATTTGTTTCATGATATAAATTTAATTGATAATCTCATTTCTATTCTTCTTCTTCTTCTTTTTCTACTACCGTTAAAATTCACAAATAATATAGCGTTTACATTATGTTTTGGTATCAATCTATTATTTCTAAAGTTGGAGTTGACATATGATTTGACATTTGGAATTTGAGTTGAAGTTGTCGTGGTGCATTCATTTCCAATTTCCAATTAATTCCTTACTGACATTATGAAAGTAATGAAAGTGATGAATATGATGATTATTGTGTTGGTGATGGAGAAAGTGTTAAAGGAGCACCGAGAAAGTAGTAACCCTTTGAAAATATGGTAGAGTTGTTATAATTGAAACTGGCTTATTATTATCACGAAATTATGAAGTAAAAAAAATTAAAATTAAAATTAAAATATTTGAACAACACGATATCATGTAAAATATGACAAATGCATCATCATCAAAGATTTTTAGTTCTTCTTCGTGATGCGACATTTAGAAATTAATTCTTTGAATAATTCTTTCTTCGAATTTTTCTGCATCACATGATCCTATATTTAACACAAATCATATTTATTCACCAATTGATATGCAGTGAGTGGATATTTATGTTGTTTATTTAGAAAAAAAAATGAAATCGTATAATTCATATAAATCATATAAATCATATAAATCAGCAATTTGCATTATTCCTCCTGAATTTCAATGGAAAAATATTCAAGAAATACGTCAAAAACATGATAAACATTTTAATAGATGGATGCCTCACATAAATTTATTATATCCATTTATTTTACCACCACTTTCTTTTTCTTCATCATCAAAACTCGATATAATTGATAATAATGATAATAATAATAACGAAAATAGAATTGAATCCAATTATATAGATACAACCGAGATATTAGAGAACTAGAAATTTTAATTCAATCAGTTAATTCTATTGAACCTTTTAAAATTGAATTTCAAGAATTAGATTATTTTTTATTTGGTAAATCAAGTTCCACTGTTTGGTTAAAACCTAAAACTGAACCAGTAGATATTTTAATGGAATTAGAAAATAGATTAATTGGAAGTTCTTCTTCTACTTCTACTTCTACTACCCCCACTTCTACAACTACAACTACTTCTACTATCATCACTTCTACAACTACTTCTATTTCAACGGAGAATGTGGAGAAGAAGGAAAAGGAATCAAATTTTGGATTTCAAGAATTTGATGATCTGATAAAGGTTGGAAGTAAAGGATTCGAACCACATTTATCATTAGGTCAGTTTCGTGGGGAGGCATGTATCTATCTATCCTCTTTATGACTGAATGAAATGAAGTTTTTGGCTTTTTATCTTTTTCATCAATCGTTCTATACTATATATATATATTAATAATAATTTTTAAATTATTTTTAAATTATTTTTAAATTATTTTTAGAAATCAGCACAAGAAGCCATTAAAAAATTTTCCAAAATTTTCTCAAATGAACCAATCAAATTTGAATTAAAAGAAATTTATTGGATTACACGTGAAGGTTATAATGATCCATTTAAGATTTTTGCAAAGATTGGGTTGGGTAAAGATGGAATTGCTGTAATTGAAAAGAAATAAATAACTTATTTTTTATCTAATTAATATCAATATTGAATAATAATAAATAATAAATAATAATAAATAATAATAATAAATAAAGGATAATAATAAATATTATCATGATAAAAATAAAAATCAAACTTTTATTTGTTTATTATTTATTTTGAAGATTTTCTTGAATTTCATAACTGAAACAAAAATTAACCTTTATTTTTCCTTTCCTTATTCTTTCATTATTCTTTTATGTTTCACCTTTTATTTCATGATGTGATGACGATCACTCGATAATATAGTGTAAATCTGTTTTTTTATAAATTTAACTTAAAAAAAGTTCACATGGGACAAACAACCAAAAAAAAAATTCTTAATCTCGCATTATTATGAAACAATTGCAAAACCCGATATACCGGAATTGAACAGGTTAAATTAGTTAGTACAAGAAATGTTTAAAAAAAAGCTTTTGAAACAAAGGTTTACAAGCCACAATTATATATATAACTCTTCCCATAACTAGAACTTCTCCTACCTATAACTAGTTTCTCATACCTATCCTATAACTAGATTTCTCTTACCTGTAACTTTTCCAGCAACTCCTCAACTAATATGGTTAATTTATTTATTTATTTTTTTTTGGAAATGAATTACGGGTAACGAGGAGATTAATTAATTGTCAATTAATAGTTAATTGGCAGTTAGTTAATAGTTAATTTACAGTTTATTAATAGTTAATTATGCTTGCTTCTCTCTATTATATTTATTCATTCTTTTGTATGCTAAACCAAGTAGTAATCGTAATCTACAAACCCAAACTTGTAAAAATCAATTTCATGTCATGCAAGAAGATTTTATTTTGATGACATGAAACTAAAGATATGAGAATTCTTTTTTTTTTTCTTCGTTACTTTTATACGTTAACATTTCATGTCATTTTTAGAATGATGGAAAACTGAACTAACGAGATGTATTTAGATTATATTTAGATTCTTATTTATACCTAAGTTATTATAGCGATGATCATGATTGCTGTTTAGATAATTATTTGGTGGACTACATAATCACGCGCCCACACACACACCATAATTATTTTACATTTACGAAATCATTTACCAAGAGAATTCAAAAAAATGAATGAATGATAAAGATAAAAATAAAAAAAGTGGTGCATATTATTTATATTGCTAATTAAACTTTAAATCTATTTATAAATTTATCTGTGATCTATTTTTGGTTATTTTGTGATTTTTTGGTATTTGTCAATTTAATTATTTATTAGAAGCATTATTATTATTATTGTTATTGTTTTGTTTTCCCAAATTAAATTCTCGATCCTCAGATTTTTCTGATCTGATTCCAATTCGCATTCACATTCGCATTCACATTATTCACACTCGCATTCGCATTCACATCACATTCACATTCTACATTTAATTTACACCTTTTTTTTCTTCATACCGAAACACATTTATTAAAATTTAAAATGTTCATTGAAATGTTTGTTCATTTTTTTACTTTGATTTCTAAACTTAGTTAGTGTTGACACAATTTATTGGAATTCTTTATTTCTCTTTATTTGATATTTTAAGTATTAACCTTTTTTTTTATATTTTTTAAACAATGAAACATGATTTTTTTATTTCATTATTATTTTATAGGCATATCATATTTAATCATACATACATACGCATTAACATATCATTAGCGTACGTATCATTATCATCTAAGGGGGAAACCTAGCACATAATTAAAAATTTAGATTCGCAGATCTTGACTATATTGTAAGAACGATTTCTTCAAGTAAGGAAATTTGTTTTTTATTAGTTAATAACACCATATTGTTACATTCTATGCGAAAGATTAATTGAATATCCAAATTTGGGAATCTGAAATAAGGAGCTAAATAAAGATTGGATGATCATGATCAAAAAAAATAAATTGTTTGTAGTCAATTTAAGTTTAGTAAATATATTTGCGTTTATCAAATCTCGGGAGTAGGAAAAAAAAAAATTGTACATAAAAAATTTATTAGAAACCTGTCGGTGAAACTTAATTATAAATGAATTTTCTATTTTTTTGTCTTATTACAGTAAATTAATTGCACATTAATTTACTATTTAAAGATCTTGTGTTTATTTGGATATTTTGGAATTGGATTGTTTCATTCATTTTTCATTTACTTTTACTTTTCATCTATTTGTCATTTGTCAATCATCTCATCCAAAATTTATTAAGTTGAACAAAAAAAATAAATAACAAAATTGAACAAAAAAATAAACAAAAAATTGAACTTGTGACTGATAATTAAACATTTGAATAGATTTAATAAATAATCGACAACAATCATAATCTTTAACTTTGGAATTTTAATATTATTCCATAACATCGGATAAGGGAATATCTGTGGCTTATTTTTTGTGATAAATTAATGAAATAGATTGTAGATGATATTGTGGATTAATTTGATTTGTGAGAGTTGTGGAAAGACAAAGAAGATTTAATTCGAATAAAGGGAAATAACTTTATTAATAATATCAAATAATATCAATAATATCAATAATGACAAAGAATAATAGTAATAATAGTAATGAAATAATAATAGTAATGAAAAATAAATAAATAAATAAATGAAATGATAATAATAATAATCGTAATAATAGTAATAATAATAATAATAATAATAATAATAATAATAATAATAATAGTAAGAAGAATAATAATAACAGATAAATAAAATGATGATGATAATGATTACACAAAACTCGTCACTGATATCACCAACCAATAATATTTAACTTATTTTAACTATATTTGTATAATATTTAACTTATTTTAACTATTATTGTTATTAAAAACACTCATTAACCCCAATAATAAAACTAAACGCAGGAGTTCAAAAAAATCATTAGACTTCATTAGACTCATTTATATAGTCGTTAATAATGATATCTTGATGATGATATGATGATGATGATATGTTTATAGAAAATTAGAAACCCCCGTTACAATATTACAGTTACAATTATTACAGTTACAACAACAACAACAATTATTATATAATTATATTAAATAAGTTTGATTGAATGGTGGCGGTGAAATGATGAAGATAAAGGGTTTGTACAAGTTTGATCCCTAAAAATTCAACAAATGCAACAACAATTTAATGTTGCGCAATGAGATGATTTATGTTAAATTGACTACTTTACTACCTTATATCATTGATTAACTTACTATTTTCATCGTTTTCAATCATGCATTTGTAATTATTTTATAATCTGTTATTTTTTTTTATATTATATATTATTTTATTTTTTTTTATTTATTTTTATTTTTATTTTTATTTTATCCGTATTTTTTTTATACATAAATAACAAAATTATTACTAAATATATTTTATATTATTATCGCATTCTTATTTTTTATATTCATACCTTTCATGCGTTGGGGTTTCTTTGATATTACTATATAAATAATACAAATTCCACGATTAAATTTGGGTTTTTTTTTTTGAAAAAAATTCTATTTTTTTTTTTTTTCATATAAAAAAATTTCATTTTTTTTTCTTTTGTAAATTTTCTTTTGAATAAATTATTTTATATAAATAAAAAATACCTAATATTCTTTTTTTTTATTATTATTTAAAAAATACACATATATATATACACCTCTTTGGATTATTTGTTAGAAACTTTAATCCATAATTAGGTTTATCTATTCACTTTTTTTTTTCTATTTTTCCATTTCTCCAATTTCTTTAATTACATATCACATTGTTATTTTTTTTTTTTTTTAAAAAAAAAAAAGTATATATTCAAGTTTTTTTGACTATCATATTTACTAATATATTAAATATACACACAAAGCCGGGCTTTGTTTTCATCTTTTTTTTAAAAAAAAAAAAAATTTTTTTTTTAGGATTGGGTCTTGATCGATCAGATTTTCTTAATTAAAAAAGCATTTTAAATATTTCTCATCATTTTTCAACTTCTTTTTAATCCTTTTATTAATAACTGTTTTTTTTTATCAGTTAAATATTATTATTCCTTTACTTTTATATTTTATTTTTATATTTTATATTTTTCATTTAATAATGGCATCTCCCTTTGATCTAACTTATATTTATAAACTTTCAATTATCAAAATAAAAACCATCGGTAATAATCCTCCTTCTAATAATAAAAATCATAATAAAAATTCATCAACTTTTCCATCATCATCTCCTCGTAAAGATACTAGTACTTTACGTAAATTAGTATTAATTAATACTTTTCTTGAACGTAAAATGGCTTTTTACGAAGAACGTTTATTAGCTAAACGTAATTCTGCTAATATGAATATTGGTTGTAGTAAATTTAAATCAACAACTATTTCAAAAGGAGATGCAAAAAATATTACGATGATGAAAGGTACGAAAGTGATCAATGAAAAAGAGATGTTAAATTCTCAAGTCTATAATAATCATAATAATCATAATAATCATAATAATAATCATAATAATAATAATCATAATAATAATCATAATCATAATCATAATCATAATTATAATTTAAATCGTGCGATTGTTAATGATATTGTAACGGATGACGATGATGAATATGTTTCTCCTCCTCCACCATATTCACCACCACCAACTAATCAAAATGTTCACGTTGATCTTTCTAATAAAACTTCTGATACTAAAAACTTCATAAAGAATACACATCAACATCAACGAGGAAATAATTTTAATAAAAGGAAGCAACAACAACAACAACAATATCAACAACAACAATATCAACAACAACAATATCAACAACAACAATATCAACAACAAAAATATCAACAGCAACAGCAACAACATCAACATCAACATCAACATCAAAAAATATTCAAGCAACAACAATTGCAACAACAACAAAAGAAATATCAACAACAACAACAAAAATATCAGCAACAACAACAACAAAAATTTCAACAACAGCAACAACAAAAATTTCAACAACAGCAACAAAAATCATTTCAAAATTATCATTATCAACAACAAAAATCTCAACATTATTATCAACCTCAGCATTTTACATCACAAAAAAATTATTCTCATGAATTAAACCAACTCTTTATTATTCAACAACAACAACAACAACAACAAACATTATATCATCATAATTCATCTCATTTATCTTATTCACCACCTCAATTACCTCAACTTCCTCTTTCACCACCACCAGGAAATTATTTATATAAACAATCACAAAAAATTAATTCCGTACAAAAAATTTTAATTCCTTTACCTAAACAAAATTTTCAAAATTATAATCCTCTTTCTCCTCCTCTTTCTCCTCCTCTTTCTCCTCCTCTTTCTCCTCCTCTTTCTCCTCCTTCCCCACCTTCTCCTACTTCTCATCAATTTCATTTGGTTAAATTGGTTAGATTACCTTAAAATTTATTTCTCTTTTTTTTCGTGAGGGGTGAATTTAATTAATTAATTAATGATTTCTTTTAAAAAATGTGCCAAAAACATGAGTTGAGTGTATTATATTTGGTTCGAAGTTTGATGTATTGAGTATATCAAACTTATTATTTTTCTTTATTTACTTTTCAACCTTTTTTTTTACTTCTTTTTACTTCTTTTTACTTTTTTTTTTTTACTCTTTTTTTACTCCTTTTTTTTACTCTTTTTTTACTCCTTTTTTTTATTCCTTTTTCCGTGTATTATTTTCTTAGAAAAAAAAAATCAAAACTTTTATTATGTTTTCTTTGAAGGGTAAAGTCCTTTTTTTTTTCTCTCTTAAAGAAAATATAGTAATAACAATAATAATAGTAACATATTATTTATTATAGTAAATAGTTAATTTTAAAAATATCTCTCATATATATAAAGCTAGTAAATATTTGAAAAACACGACATAACAAAGATAGATTTTTTAACAAAAAAAAAATTGTTTCATTAATATATATATATATATTTTTTTATTCTTTTTTTTTTTATACGGGTTGAATTATATTTTAAAATATTTCCGGTGGAGTTTTTTTTTTTAAATTTTTTTTATTTTGATTTTTGTATGATATTTTGGTTTTGTTATTATTTTATTTTTGATTCTGTATGATATTTTGGTTTTTTTCTTTATATATATATATATATGTATGTTTGTGAAAATTTTTTTTTTTTTAAAAAAAAGGCTTTATTTTATTTACAAACATCGTGTATAGTTTTTACTTTTCATTAAAAACTTTTTTTTTCTTATTTTTTTGGGGTTTTAATAAAATAAAATATCCGAACTTTTTTAATAACAATTATAAATACATTTTAGAAATGAATATATCTATCTATATATAATATTAGATTTTTAGTTCAAAGCGAAACTTTTGAATATACATATACATAATGTATATAATATTAAATTATGTGAATTTGTTATGTCAAGCAAATTCTAATTCTTGATGTAACTTCTGTTGGTTTATTATTACTTGTCATTATCACTTTAAAATGGTTTATTTCTAATTGTCAAAAAATAATATAAAATATTACTGAATTTGAGATTGATAGTAGAAAAGATATACATTTCATATATAATTTTATAGAAATAGAACAAACAACTTTATCTGATTAAAAAATTATGTTTATAAAATTATAAGGATCCAAGCTACTTGCAATTAGATCCAATTTGACTGGTGGCTTTTCATAAAAGTTTATTTTGATCAGTAACAATATCAGAATGGATACAAAGAAATTGTGAAAGAAAGAAATCAAAAAATTGTGGTTCCAACTCCAATATCTGTTTTCCAGAAAAAGCTCAAACAATTTCTAATATCAAAATTTGATGAAAAATTGCTACAATCTTGATCCAAGAATTTCTATTATGATTCTTTGCATGGGATCCACAATTAATATTGCTGTAAATATTTCATATTACTTTAATTTTATTTCTTCTCATGAAATATCAAATAATAATTTTTTAAAAAAAGTAACAAATCAAAATTTTTTTACATTGGGCACATTGGATAAATAATAATTGATTTTATTAATTTTAACATGTCTACTACTATTACAAGAGTAACTAAAAAAAGTACCTTTCAATTTGTAAAAAGGTTAAATTTAAATTTACTTGATCAACTAGCTTATGCACATGAATTAAATAATAAATTAATATACATGTTGCCCAAATTATTAAAACTTGGTAAATTAATTAGAGATTTGAAATTTGGAACTATAGTAATTTGCATTTGAGATTTTGTCTTTAAATTTCTTGGATTTTTTTAATTTAATCACCTGTTACATAGCAGTAAAAATTTTTATTTATATCTATTTTTATAAACAACAATGAAATTATTTATAACACCTTATACAAATTACTAAAATCTTTATATTATCTAAATTTAATTACATGTGTTTATTTTAAATAACTTTGAATATTTCAAATTTCATTCCAATCAATTTCTAAAAAATATTACTCTGTGATTTACAAAAGATTTCAATGAACCATATACAACTATTGTAAATATATAAAAAATTTTAAGAAACTATGTTTTGTATATAGTTATTATTGACACATTAAAAACTGAAGTTTTTGTATTCTAGTAAGGATTTGATTATTATTTAAGAATAAATTATTTTGAAACCATTTTTTTTCAAATTTTTAATTTATTACTTTTTAATAATAATACATTTTTTCTTTTTCTCTTTTTATCTTATATATATATTTTTCATTATGCCGTTGTTAACTTTATTTCCTTAATTTTTATTATATATATTTATTATTCTATTATTATCATTAGTATATTTTATCAGTCAGATTTTTTTATTTGTATTACATTTATATTAGCATTATTATTATTTATGATGTTACTATTTTTTTTTTTGTCCTCTTCATTATTATTATCATGTTTTCACTCTCGTTTCCATCTGTCACAACCCGTTACCTTTAATTTTTGTCTATATAATTTTCCTTTTAATTGTCACCACCCCTTCTTCTCCTTTTTCTCTTTTCCTAATATCATCTAGCAATACTTATTACCACTTACCTTCGCTTATTCATTTATCTTGTACTACTCACTACATTTTCACTCTCTTCGCCATCCCTTCCATCCTGAATTCACCTTAAAAATCCTGATTCTTTATTCTCTTTCCTCACCTATATTTATAATTTCTTTCGGCTATACTTGTTACATGCCATGTACCATTTATTGTAGATTACTGTAGAAAATGTTATTTTGCTTAGATGGTGACATTCTTCTTAACAAAAGATCACTCACCAAGGTGAAGATGCAAATGTTTTGAACTGTCACCACCTTCACAGTGGCCAAAAAGCTAAGCAAAATTGGAATTGAGTTTATTTTATCTTTTTTTTTTTTTTTTTTCTTTTTTTCTTCTTTCATCATGTAATCAATTGATAGATTAATTTATATTTTTAGAATACAATTGGAATAACTATAAAAGTAACTTTAATTTTTCTTCCTTATATATCATGAATAATTATAACAATTGATAATGTTATTTTTTTCTTTGTTTTAATTAATTCTTTAGATAAAAATAAGATAAATTTCTTTAATTTATTTATTTTCTTTTTGTACTTTCTTTATTTTCTTTAATAAAATCTTTATGTTTATCTATAAATAAATTATATACATACTTATTTTTCTTCTTGCATTTGTTTTTGAATTATAGATAAAGTCTATATTGTATAATCCAGAGTATACATATTTCCAAAATTGATTTTGGATTTTTGAGATATTTCGACTTTTTGAGATTTAGCAAAATCTATTCTATATATGGAAGTAAAAAAAGTACCTAGTTATATGTATCTTTAATTAAAGAATAAATCTGGATAATCAAAATTTTGAATTTTAAGTAAAATAATTTCATCTTCTATGAAAAACTATTTTGATTTTTTCCTCAAAATTACAATTTCAGGACCTCAAAATAATTTTGCATGCAAGTATAATCCAGAGTCTTAAAATCTAAGAATAAACTATCGATCTTTAATTCTTCACTCAACTGTCATATGACTTAGTCAGAATTTACCTTTTTCATTCTTTAAATCCATCTATCTTTTAAATCCCTATCAAGTTCTAGTAAAATTATTCTATTTTGTTTTTTATTTTCTTTAGATTAGAATTTGCCATATTTTCTCTTCTCTATATTCAACATCCTACCCTTGTAATTACTTCTTCTTTGTTATCCTATAGTATAAAATATTAGTTACTTTAATATTATTTGTCTTTCCATACTTTCAAAACTCACTGATAACTATTAGACTAAACCCAAGCACTTGTTGTACTTGCTCCCTCGCTCTTCCAACAGGTAGTATCAACGAGTAGCAGATGTAAATTATTTTTTGTAATTAATTTAATATCTCTGTTTGATACCTCTGGTTGACACCTCTGATAAATATTTTTGGCACAAATGACTCATTGATAAAATGGCTTATAGAATATCCTGAAATATGACAGAAACTTCTGGAGCTTTCTTGAAATTAATAATTATAGTCTTGCAATAGAATGGTAATTTTATATAAATAGAGGTAGCTTTTACTTTTAGTGAAAAGACAATTAGAACTTGATTATATTCTGAACTCAATATTTGTAATAAATTATTAATAAAGTCATAATAACAAGTGATAATTTATTTTTTGATTTCTTAGCGAAACACTTTCTTAATAATATCTTACTTTATGATTTCGGTATTATTCTGTTTATAATTAACCTTGCTTTATGATCTGAGTTAGTTATATTAATTCTGTGTAAATTATTATAGTTTCTAAGTGAAACTTGTAATATTCTTTGTGAATATTTGTAAACTTAATTTTATATTGTTTAATATAAAACCCTATATCCTTTATAAATCCTCATACTGTTGACCCTGTTTCTTTATTTTATATATATATATATATATATATTTATTATAACTTATTTTATTATTATTTTATTATTATATTCGTATATGTATTATTTTATTTATTTTTAGTTTAGTATATTTATATTCTTGTATCACATTTTCATTATTTGTATTTAGTTAACAGATACAAAATATCTTTGATGCGTAATATTACGTGATGCGAGATAAAATACATCTGATAGTTACCGGTAAAATACCTAGGTAAATT